ATGCTGCAGACGCTCGTTGCCGATGCCAAGGCGTTCCGCAGAGCCCAACTCCACAAACTTGGAAAGTGTATGTTGGAGATGCACTGTTGTTTAGACCTCCCCTCCTCAGTATTAGTATCATCATCATCATCATCATCAGCATCATCATCATCATCATCAGCATCATCTGTTTCATCTGCTACGCTTTACTTTGAGGGGGGGTTTTGCGGGGTTAAGTTAGGATTAGTGGTTTAGGGTTTAGGGTGGAGTGTAGGGTTGAGGGTTGAGGGTGTAGGGTTTAAGGTTCAGGGTGTAGGGTGTAGGGTGTAGGGTTTAGGGTTTAGGGTTTCGGGTTTAGGGTTTCGAGAGCTGCCAGCCCGAATTCTCCCTCCCGCCAGGAGATGGAGACCGAGGCGACGGCCGCCGAATCTCGCCGTCCTGCAGGGTATTTCGGGTTCAGGCCCTACCCTAAACCCTAAATCCTAAACCCTAAACCCTAAACCCTAAGCCCTAAACCCTAAACCCTAAACCCTAAACCCTAAACCCTGAACCCTAAACCCTAAACCCTAAACCCTAAACCCTGAACCCTGAACCCTAAAACCTGATCCAAACCCTACCTGGGACCGTTAGATTTATGGGCTATAGCTACGAATTAAGGGTATGTACTACTAAGCTGTAGGTAAATAGAGGCTTAGGAATAGGGGTTTGTCTGTTCATTTATACTGTTTTTTGGGGGAGGGGGTTCGGTGTTGAGGGTTTCAGGGCCCCAAAATGTGGATACGGTTTTTCAGATCTGCCTCGCGCCAGCTTCAGCCTGAAGCCAACAACCACATGTCTAAAGACGGCAAAGCCCTTAAACCTCCCCAAGCCCTCAAACTCTAAGAAACCCTGCAAGCCCTACAAAGCGTACCGAGCCGTCCATGCCCTGAACCCCCTACAAAGCCTCCAGAAGCACCCTCCCAGCCTGATGGAAACACCGCCCCAAATCCGCCAACTCAAACCCCGCAAAACACACAAAAAACCCCAAGCCCCCAAAAAGCCCTAACCTAAAACGCCGGAATCCCGAAGCCCGAATGTTTCAACCTTAAGCCCGAAACCCTAAACCTTAAACCCTCAACCCTACACCATTTGAACCGTTTGAACTTTGAACTCTAGGCTTTCAAGCCCCAAGCCCCAAGCCCTAAACCCTAAACCCTAATTTAAAACCCCTAAACCGTAAACCCTAAACCCTAAACCCTAAACCCTAAACCCTAAACCCTAAACCCTAAACCCTAAACCCCGTCCCTCTGCGCCAAGGAAGCCGAGTCTCAGGCGGACTACGAGGTTCCCCCCATGGAGTGTGGGCGGCTGAAGCCATAAAACATCCTAGACCCTGCACCCTTCCAGGCTTTATAGGGCCTTGAGATAGTCAGTTCATGTAGGGTTTATCTATGGGGTTTATGGGGTTTATGGGTTATGTAGAGACTTACAGAGTTCCTACAGGGATTTCAGGTTTGATGGGTGGGGGGTGCGGGAGGGGGGTGTTGAGGGTTTGTACAGGGCAATTGCAGGGTTTGTTCGAGTTGTAGGGGTTTGGGGTGTTGGTGTCTGGGGCTTCGGACCCAAACCCTAAACCCCCACCCCCAAGCATCTCAAACATGTCGTCCAGGCCTTCACCAAGGATATGACGGCCAACTTGGAGAAGAAGACGAAGACCATCGCAGACAAGGCCTGGACGTTAGGCCTTTCTAAGTCACTTAACCCTAAACCCTAAACCCTAAACCCTAAACCCTAAACCCTAAACCCTAAACCCTAAACCGATGGGCCCAATGGCCCGAGACCCGAGCTCCCGAGACCCTAAGACCCCATACAGCCAGAACACCCCAAAAAACCCCATAAACCCCATAAACCTTCCTTATACGAACCTACGCCCTACGCGCCTTACCCTAAACCCAAGCCCTGTACACCCTAACCCTGCAACCCTATCAACCCTAAGCCCGATCAACCGTAAACCCTGTTGACCCTAAACGCTGTAAACCCTGTAGTCCCTGACCCTATGAACCCTAAACCCTGTAAACGCTAAATGAACCCTGCAGACCCTAAGCCCTGTAAACCCTAAACCCAGAGCCATCATGGCTGAGACGAGGGTTTTCTGACGCGCTCCGTGCGCTTCCTGGCCGCCATGGGCGCACGAGGCACGGCCCTGGGGCGCGGCCTGTTCATTTCCAGGCGCCCGGGCCGCGAGCGAGAGGGGCCTTTTGGGGGCCACGGAGGCTGTAGGAATCTGTAGGGTTTTTAGGGCGTTTGGGGTTTCCATAAGGTTTTGAGGTTTGAGGGTTTGCAGGCTTGTTGATTTTGGGGGAGGAGGTGTGAGGGCATAGTTTTCAGAAGGGTTCACGGCTGGCCCAGGGGCTTCATTTCCGGTTTGAAGGGTCATAGGATGTTCCCCCTTATACCAACACCCGCCCCCTTGAACCCAAACCCAATCCCTATAAACCCTGACCCCCCTATCAGCGCGAAACCTCCGTGCCCTGGCAGGTGAATGAGGGCTGCGCGCCTCCTGAATCTCGGGGAGGACTCGTCCCACGGTGGTTTGGGAGGGGTTTTGGGGTTGAGGGAGTCTCAACCTCCTAAACCCTAAAAACCCTAAACCCTAAACCCTACAAGCCCTATAAACCCTTAGAATCCTGCAAAGCCCTAGAGACCCTGGGCCCGATGAACCCCATAAACCCCAAACCTTATAAGCCCTCAGCCCTGCAACCCTAAACCCTAAACCCTAAACCCTAAACCCTAAACCCTAAACCCTAAACCCTAAACCCTAAACCCTAAACCCTAAACCCTAAACCCTAAACTTTCCCTAAACCCGAAACCCTAAACCTAAACCCTCAAGGCCAGGATCAATTAGAAATTGTACGCGTTTCGCTACGAGCAGCTCGTGCAACACTACTTCAGCCTTCACAGCGCAAGAAAATCAGACAAGAGCATGGCTTTCAGGGTTTAGGGGTTTAGGGGTTTAGGGTTTAGGGTTTAGGGTTTAGGGTTTAGGGTTTAGGGTTTAGGGTCTAGGGTTTGGGGGACGCTGAACAGGGAAAGAAAGCCGCGAAAGATGCTGCCGGTGCCCCTTTAGGCTCCCCAAAACCCCAAAAAAGCCCAACCCCCCCCCCCCCCCGTCCCCCTGCCCAAATTTCAGCAATAGAGCCATCATAAATGGAAATTCCATTCAAAAAACAAAAAGCAAAACCCCCCCGAAACCCTCCCAAAACCCCACAAAACTCCGAACACAAACCCCGTACAATTTCTATGAACCCTAAACTAAACCATAGGATGCCGCCTTCTTCCCACCCTGGGCGCTGGGGGCCGGGCGAACTGGGAAGCTGGCCTCCTACGCCAGTTTCCTCGAGGTGGCCACCTCATCGGTTTTCGGGCTTAGGAAAGGGGTTTAGGGTTTAGGGTTTAGGGTTTAGGGTTTAGGGTTTAGGGTTTAGGGTTTAGGGTTTAGGGTTTAGGGTTTAGGGTTTAGGGTTTAGGGTTTAGGGGGGTTTAAGGTTTATTTCGGGTTTAGGGTTTGGGGTTTGGTTAGGGCGGACGTAGGATTCACAGCAAGGCCAGGCAGGACACGGTGTAGAGCTGTGTCGCGTCTTTGTTCGGGCGAGTTCAGAAAGACCTGGAATTTTGTTTTCGCAAGCCCTTCTTATTGCCCAAGGTAGATATTTGAGCAGCTCTCTTGTTGATATTAGTAGGATGCAGAAATTGTTTATCGCTTAAATAAAAGTTCTCAACTTAAAGATAGCAAAGTTAGATTTACTGGTTTGTCAAAATAAGAGTTCCTTTGGGGGGTCCTTATTTTAAGGGTGCCGTGCTATACACGGTACCCAAAAAGTGACCAGAATTTCGAGAACCCGCCATTTGGCACCTGCCTATTAACAACCCATCAAGGCGCCCCCGCAGCGGCGACGGTACACCTCCTTCGAGGATGAGCCCGAGCATCCGACGTGCCCTGGTGGCAGTCGGTAGGATGCGGGTCTAGGATTTAGAGGGGGTTTGGGGTTCAGGTTTCAGAGTTTGGGGCTTTCAGGCGCTTTCAATTCCTACACCCGTCACGCGTCTCTACTCGGCAGCCCTCCCCACAGAGCTGGCAACCGAAGACGGAAGAGGAAAGGCTCTTACACTCTAAGGCAAGCCCGATATCCTCAACCTAGATAAAGGCCTGGTGCCTCGAACCCCAAACTCCTAAACCTTTAAACCCCAAACTCGTAAACCTTTAAACCCTAAACGCTAAACCCTCTACCCTCGAAAGCCTGAAGCCCCGATTGAATGGTGGGTGCGTCTCGGCACTTCAACCGAGGAAGGCAACTGCGAAGATCTTGGGCCTTAACGGCAAGGCTGGGGGCGAAACTTTGCTGAGGGTTTTGGGGTGTAGGGTTCAGGGTTTAGGGTTTAGGGTGTGGGGGGTTTAGGGTTAAGGTTGAGGTGTATGGGGTGGGGGGGTTTCAAGTTTGATGCACACTCGCACACGTACGGGCCACATTTGTTTCGCCTCTCCTTGTCCCAGGAAGCTTCTTCAAGAAAACCCTAAACGCTAAGCCGTAACCGTAAACCGGCCTAGACCCCAAAACCCTCAGCTAAAACTGCCCCAGCCGAAGGGCAAAAACCCTAGGGCAGGCAAGATCCCATCTGTTCGGGGATTGTTCGGGGTACAAGGTGCTTTGTTTAGGGTTTCGGGTTTGGGTTGAGGTAGTACGTCCTCCGTGTGCAGCGGCTTACCCTAAACCCTAAACCCTTGTCACAACCCTAGACCTTCAAGCTCGGATGCGCTCATTTTCAAACTTACGTTGATGGAACCAGTCTTGAGACACCCCACAACAAGTATTATAGGACGAGGGTTGAAGGTTTAGGGTTTAGGGGCGGCAGGTCATCAACATCACCCGCCGGCTGGGCGAAACGCAACTCTCGGATCCTGCGTCGGGGTCGACCGAGTGGGAGGTGAACCAGCAGTCCCTCGGTGACCAAATTTGGGGGGTTTCGCTGAGGTTCCCCTAAACCCTAAACCCTAAACCCGAAACCCTCAACCCTCAACCCTGAATACCCTAAACTGCTGGTTTGGGAGTATTTGTTGGGCTTCCAGGCCTGTCTTCCTGCCTCCGACCCATCGCGACAGCTGAAGAAAGCCACGATACCTTCATCATAGTGAATGTATCGCCCGCCAGAAGCTTTGATAGGTTAAGGGTTGAGGGTTTATAGGATCACCCTAAACCCTAAACCTAAACCCTTAACCCTTAACCCTTAAACCTTAACCCTTAACCTTAAACCCTAAACCCTCAGGCTTTGCGAGAAGGACGAGTGTCCAGAAAGCACAGCTTTGGTCACCGTGAAAGAGTGCGTGGTGCTTGGGCTAAAGCAGCTCAGGGTTCAGGTTTTGGGTAATTTAGGGTTCAGGGTTTGGGGTTTAGGGTTTGGGTTTTTGGGTTTAGGGTTTAGGGCTTCAATGAACGTACCCCAAGATTGGGCTGAGGGTTTCGGGCTTGGGGTTCACCCACCCTCTACGAGAAATCTTTTTGTCGGTACATGTACCATAAACTCTTTCGAACGAAGGCAAGTCTACTCCATACGCCTTCAAACCCTAAACCCTAAACCCTAAACCCTAAACCCTAAACCCTAAACCCTAAGCCCAGAACCAAAAACCCTAAACCCTAAACCCTAAACCCTAATCTCTCCTAGGTGGTCAAGAACTTCAAGAAGGGCATGCGGAAGGCACTGCCCAAGGGCCACTTCTGGGAGGATGACAAGGACTGCAAATACGCGCCTTGACGGTTCCGGGTTTAGGGGTTGTTTAGGGTTTAGGGTTTAGGGTTTAGGGTTTAGGGTTTAGGGTTTAGGGTTTAGGGTTTAGGGTTTATGTTTAGGGTTTGGGGTTGAGGGTTTACGTTTGGGGTTTAGGGTGGCATTTGGGTTCAGGGTGTCAGGTTCGAGGGTTTGTGTGGCAGGGTTCAGGGTTCTAGCATCCTGAGGATCTTCTGGCTTGTGGACCCTAAACCCTAAACCCCAAACCCCAAACCCTAAACCCTAAACCCTAAACCCTAAACCCTAAAATCCAAAACCCTAACTGTGGCGTGTGGCGGGATGTTGGGGCTTGGGGCTTGGTGGCCTGTGGCATAGTTAGGGCTTCAGGGAATGAAGCTATCACTCCTTCTGTTGCGCAGTCTGGGGTTTAGGGTTTAGGGTTGAGGGTTGAGGGTTGAAGGTTGAGGGTTTAGGGTTTAGGCGAAGCCGAAGCTCGAAACACTAAAACCGACTCATTTATCCAATAGTTGAGCTTTAAACTTTGGGGCTTCCTGATGTTGCCGGAGAACATAAGGCTGAACTTTTTGCTTATTCAAACTCCTAGTTAGGACACCCTAAGCCCTAGACCCCTGAGACCTTACTTGCCATACGCCTCCCTGAAAACGGATCCTAAACCCTAGCCCTAAACCCTAAACCCTAACCCCAAACCCCAAACCCTAAACCCTAAACCCTAAACCCTAAACCCTAAACCCTAAACCCTAAACCCTAAACCCTAAGGTGCAACTGCCCCTGGCGATGGTGATCTCCGAGCATGGGAAGTGCCATGTGCGGATGGGGGCACCCAAAGCCCGAACCCTGAACCCCAAACCCTAAGCCCTAAACCCTAAACCCGAAACCCTAAACCCTAAACCCTAAACCCTAAACCCTAAACCCTAAACCCTAAACCCTAAACCCTAAACCCTAAACCCTAAACCCTAAACCCTCACCCGACATACTGAACCCTAAACCCCTGAAATCCTAAACCCTATCACCCTAAATACGAAACTCTACACCCTAAGCGCTGAAATCCTCAATGGCCGGTGCTCTGAGTTTTTGGGGGTCCGTCTTGTTGGCAAAAAGGTACTATAGGGGTCGGAATAAATGACTAATAGTATTCCCTTATGGTCCCTTTACAATTAGACTATGATAACACCCAAAACACCCAATTCTAAGCATTAAGGCCCCTACAGTATGCTGTGGGGCCCCACGATTTTTTGCATGTCTGTTCCCAGTTGGAAGTTCTCCTTCTCGGGGCTGGGGTTGAGGGGGTTGAGGGCCGAAGGGAGCCCTCAACCCGGAAGTCCTATACCCTCAACCCTCAACCCTATAAACCCTAAACCCTAAACCCTAAACCCTAAACCGTAAACCCTAAACCCTAAACCCTCAACCCTCAACCCTAAACCCTAGATCTCACAACTCCTCGCACACCAAGATGCCTCTCCGGCGCAGCTGGCGGCAACTTGACGGAGAAGTGCAACCCAATGATGGCGCCTGGCTTGACCTTTAGGGTTTAGGGTTTGGGGTTCAGGGTTTAGGGTTTAGGGTTTAGGGTTTGGGGTTTAGGGTTTAGGGTTTAGGGTTTCTCACGGATCTTAGGAGTGCAGGGTTTGGGGTTTGCGGGATTGATAGGGGCCAAAGGGTTGCTAGGGTTCGTTTTATGGGGTTCAGGGTTTAGGGTTGTACGTAGGCTTTAGGGCTTCAGACTTTTCAGGCAGGGTTTAGGGGTGACAGGGTTTTTTTGGTCTTGTAGGATTTTTGCAGGGCTTTCAGGGTTTTCTTTTTTTCGGGCATGCGGGCTTTTCCATTTTTGTGTTCGGGGTTAACTTTCTTCCCCCTATTATTAGACCCCCCCCCTCCCATAGAAACTCGCAATGTGTTTTTAATATTCGGGGATGTTTGATCCACATGCCATCTTTTGACCCCCCCCCCCCAAAAAAAAATCGGAATAGGGTTCAAAAGGCGGGGTCGGTTTCGGCAGGATTTTCAGGAAAGTGTCTTTATAATCCAAGGGGGAAAAGGATAAGTCACAAGGTGCCGGGGTTTTTCGCACGTAGCTTTCTTTGTTAGCGAGGCCTGGGAGCCCTACCCTCTCGATCCTTCCACCAAGGGCTGCTATCTTTGGGTATAGGGTTTAGGGTTTAGGGTTTAGGGTTTAGGGTTTAGGGTTTAGGTTTAGGGTTTAGGGTTTAGGATTAGGGTTTAGGGTTTAGGGTTTAGGGTTTAGGGTTTAGGGTTTAGGGTTTAGGGTTTAGGGTTTAGGGTGTAGGGCAGAATCCGTAAGGCGGGCCTCCCTATTTTGGAATTCCCCGAACCGCAAGGCTAATCTGTTGTCGGCTGCCCCAATGTACCCTTTTGGGATTCACAGGTGGCTTTGGCGTTTAGGCTTTATTATCGGAATACCATCGCTTGGTTTCTCATGATGGCAGCTCTATGCAAGTTCCAGAACATCAGCCCGTGAAATTGGTCTCAATTTCATGTAGGCGGTGTGAGTTCATGAAGTGCCGAAGCTCACGAATTCAGCTTCCCAGGCCTTCTTCCCCCTTTCAAGCTCCAGACCCTATACCCCAACCCCTTAACCTTCAACCCCTTTACTCCTAGACCCCAAGCTCTTGGGTAACCCTAAACCCTAAACCCTAAACCCTAAACCCTAAACCCTAAACCCTAAACCCTAAACCCCAAACCCCAAACCCCATGAACCCCAAATCCTACACTCTTCAAGGGCCTGCGGGGGTAAGGTGAACTGCGGCCATACCACTGCCTGCAACAAGTGCTTTATTCTGCAGCGGGCGACCGAGAACAGCGTGTTCACGGGTCCCTTGCTTGGTTTAGGGTTTGGGGTTTGGGTTTCGGGGTTAGGGTTTAGGGTTTAGGGTTTAGGGTTTAGGGTTTTGGGGTTTGGGGTTTAGGGTTAGGTTTGGAGTTAGGGTTTTGGGGCTCCGGCTTAGGTTTGGAGTTAAGGTTCTTGGGGCTTAGGGTTCAGGGTGTAGGGTTTGGGGTTTAGGGTTCAGAAGCCATGACCCGTAACCCTGGCCCTCCCCCCCCCTTCACCTCTCCGAAACCCAAAACCCCTAAATCCTGATCCCTGCGCCCTAAACCCTAAATCCTAAATCTTAAACCCTAAACCTTAAACAAACCCTAAACCCTAAACCCTAGACCCTAAACCCAAAACGACGCGGAAAAGCACGACCATCCTGCGCAGGATGGAAGCTGAAGACGGCCTGTGGCGGGCTGCGTCCGCCCAAGGCCACGGGCTCCCGTAAGTCCTAGCGCCTTAGCTTCGGCTTTAAAAGGGCTAGCTAAACCCTAAACCCTCAATCCTTTAAAAAAACCCTGACGCCAAAACCCTTTAACACACTTAGATCCTAGACGCAAAAGGCCAGTCGCTCCAAATGGGAGCCTCAGCCCCAATCCCAATCCCAACCCCACCCCCAACGCCAACCCCAACCCCAACCCCAACCCCGCCCTAAACCCGTAAAACCATAAACCTTAAACCTTAAAACCCTAAACCCTAAACCCTGAACCCTGAACCCTAAACCCTAAACCCTAAACTCGGACAGGAGATGGCCAAAGTCATGTCTGAGCTGGGCTTGAAGGTGCAAAAGGCGCCCTGGAGACGTTGGCTTTCTAAGGTTTCGGGTTTAGGGCTGTAAACCCGAAAGCCCTAAACCCTAAAACCTAAACCCTAAACCCTAAACCCTAAACCCTAGAACCTAGAACCTAGAACCTAGAAACCCTAAACCCTAAACCCTAGAACCTAGAAACCCTAAACCCTAGACCAACCCCTAAAAAGAAGTCAAGCTTGGCCCCGTAAAACCCTTCAACTTTCAACCCAAACCCTAAACCCTAAACCAAACCCTACACCCTGAACCCAAAAACCCACACCCGTAGACCCCACACCCGTAAACCCCACACCCGTAAACCCCACACCCGTAAACCCCACACGCTAATCTCTAGACCCCACACCCTAAACCCTAAGGCTTCATGGTTAACCCCGATAGACCTGGAGGCAAAGTTCCTGACCATGGACGCGGACGGATCGTTGAAGCTACTGGGATAGATGGACTTGGGGTTTAGGGTTTAAAGGGTTAAGGGTTAAGGGTTTAGGGTTTAGGGTTTAGGGTTTAGGGTTTGGGGTTTAAAGGGTTGCATGCGCTTGCCGTCGCCAAGGGATGCTTATGAGCATGTGTGCACCTGTGACGTGTTGCAATCCCCTGGTGCTGTTTTGTCCTCGCGCCGCCCTCAGCAGTAGGGAAGGCAGCTTTTAGAAGCTTGTCAGCGTCTGCTAAAGCTGAAGAACATCTGAGATAAAAGAAGTGTTCAAAGGGTGGAGGGTTTAAAGGGTTTAGGGTTTAGGGTTTAGAGTTTAGGGTGTGGGGTTTAGAGTTTAGCGTGTGGGGTTTACGGGTGTGGGTTTTAGGGTTCAGGGTGTCGGTTTAGTTTAGGGTTTAGGGTCTGGGTTGAAAGTTGAAGGGTTTTACGGGGCGAAGCGTGACTTCTTTTTTTGTTGTCTGGCGGTGGGAGGGGGGGGGGGAGGGTTTAGGGTTGAAGGTTGAAGGATTTCAGGGAGTTTGGGGGGTCAGTTTAAGGGTGTTTGGGGATTTCGAGGTTGGGGATTGATGGTGCTGTTTCCCCCACCCAAACCCATACTCCTACTTTAACACCGTGGGGACCAAACGAACTCTAATTGGGGTCATATACCCGATACAATCATAACCCCTATTCAGGTATGTGAAACCATGATCCCTTTTATAGGGTTCATTTGGTCCCCAAGGAAAGCCCCAACTTCAAGTCCCAAGCACCAAGCCGAAACCCGACGGTAAATCCCCAAATCCCCGCTGCTCAGAAGTCCCACCCCTGTCTCTAAGGGTCCAGGTACCAATGTAGTAGATACTTGGGCCCTGCAGCTACGCTATGGGAACCCCTGGAAGGCCCAGGATATCTGCTAGATAGGTGCATGGACTCTGAGGGTATGACACTAAGACCCTAAGCCCTAAACCCCGAAACCATGAACCCGAAACCCTAAACCCCAAACCCCTAAACCCCTAAACCCCTAAACCCCTAAACCCCTAAACCCCTAAACCCCTAAACCCCTAAACCCCTAAACCCCTAAACCCCTAAACCCCTAAACCCCTAAACCCCTAAACCCCTAACCCCTAAACCCCTAAACCCCTAAACCCCTAAACCCCTAAACCCCTAAACCCCTAAACCCCTAAACCCCTAAACCCCTAAACCCCTAAACCCTAAACCCTAAACCCTGAGCTGCAAGCCGAGGTTCACGGATGAGTACAACACTGAGCAGGACAGGCAGATCTGGAATCTCACGCCTTCCAACACGAGCTCCAAGGTAGATGAAGTCGAGCTTCCTGGTCTGATGGGTTTTCTAGGGATTCTAGGGGCCTGGGGTGTATGGTTTAGGGTTTAGGGCTAGGGTTTAGGGTTTAGGGCTAGGGTTTGGGGTTTCGGGCTTCGGGCTTAGGGCTTGAAAGGGTCGTTTGGGGTGTAGGGCTCACACTCCCCGAAAATCCTAAACGCCCTGGCGTTGGAATCACATAAGCCCCCAGCCCACGGAACCTTGAGGAACCCGAAACCCTAGACCCTAAACCCTGAATTCCAAAACCCAAACCGACAAGGCCCTATACTCCTAATATGGCCCTTGTACTTCAAGGACCTTTAGAAGGGTTCCCAAAACCCAAGGGTACAACCTTAAGGGTCCAAGGTAAAACCCCTAGAGTCTAAGCCATGAGGCTCCATGAGAAGATGTACAAGAAGCCCTTCCTCCTGGAGAATGTGGCTTCCAAGCGCTTTCTGCTGCACGAGAGGCCGCCGCTCACGGAGGACACGGCGAGGCCGCCTGTCCTCTTTTGAACCCTTGACTAAAGAACACCCCCCCCCCCCCCCCCCCAACCAAAAAAGAAAAAGAAACAACAAAACAAGAACCTAAGCCACAAACCTTAAAGTTGAGGGTTTGAGGTTAGGAGCCCCCCCCCCCCAAGCACGAGAGCCCTGCCGCCTTCGGGCCCTCCAAGGGTGGAGCCCTTGGGACCAGATGAACCCTAAAATTCCTATTCAGGTATATGAACCATAAACCCCCGAAACCCTAGACCCTAGACCCTACACCTTTCACCCTAAACCCTAAACCCTAAACCCTAAACCCTAAACCCTAAACCCTAAACCCTAAACCCTAAACCCTAAACCCTAAACCCTAAACCCTAAACCCTTTTAGGGCTCATTTGGTCCCCAAGGCCGGGTCTTCCCCCCAACACGAGGTCGGACCCGCTGAACACCTACATGGCCCAACTCCCGGAGAAGGAGACCCGAGGGTTTTTCTGCTTTTGGGGTTGCTTTTGGCCTTTCTTGGGCTTTAGGTTTTGGAGCTCAGCCCTAAACTCCAAGGAGTCCATGCCGGAGCCGTTCAAGAACGACACTGCCGAGGCCAACCCTAAACCCTAAACCCGAAACCCTAAACCCTAAACCCTAAACCCCAAACCCTAAACCCTAAACCGTGGTGCGTGTTGGATCTCTCCCCATCTTCAGGGCTCTTTGGGGATGGGAGAATGGGATCCTAAACCGTATACCCTAAACCCTAAACCCTAAACCCTGCAAACCCTGCAAACCCTAAACCCTGCAAACCCTGCAAACCCTAAACCCTAAACACTAAACCCTAAACCCTAAACCCTGCAAACCCTAAACCCTGCAAACCCTAAACCCCAAACCCTAAACCCCAAACCCTAAAACCCCCTCTTTGTCGTCCTTGCCCCCCCCCCAAAGCGTCAAACTCCAAACCCTTAGAAAACGTATTCTGAAGCTGAACCCTATAGACCCTATCCTAGGTGGGATAAGGGGGACCCTTAAAAGGGAACGGGTCTATGTCCCCAAGGGTCCCCCTACTCCTGTCCCCGACCCTATAAACTCTACATGAGAAGTAAACCCGAACCCTAAACCCGACCTTCCTTCACAGATGCGGCCGCGCCCTGCAAGCAGCAGGCCAATACCGTGACCATCATCCAGAAGAAGCAGTGGCGGCGCGGCTTTTGGCAAGGCCCCGCGCGTAGTTACAGTAAGTTTTAGGGTTGAGGGTTGAGGGGTATTAAGGTTATTGTGGCCTTTTGGGTGTCCATTCGAGTATCCCAATTCTTTGCGGCCTATGATGTTCATCACCCCCCCCTCCCCTATGCCCTAAACTCTAAACCCTCCAATCCTCCAAGCCCTAAACCCTAAACACTCTTAAACACTCTTTTTGCTTCTCTTGTCCTTCCCCTTCCTTCCCTCCGCCTTCCTCGCGGGTGGTCGGAGGCGTGGAGAAGGCTGGCAGCACCTACCTGCAAGGCGGGCGATTACTCTGATGGGTTTTCAGGATGGCTCTAGGGATTCTAGGGGATACATGGGTTCTAGGCTTCTACGGTTTAGAAGTGTGAGGGTTGTGGATGAAGGACCTATAGTATCCCAGGCTCGGCTAGCAGGGGTTCATACACAAGCCCTCCACACTTTTTGAGGTCGGAACCTGGGCTGTGCGTGTGATACCCCTGCCTCCTTCTCCTGCGCTTAAAACCCCATATACCCTACCCCCAAAACCTACGCCGAAGACCAAGTGAGCCACATCAAGCAAAGAAGGGCACCTTTCTTTCTTCTCCCCCCCTTTGGCTACTGGGAAACCCTGAACCCCAAACAGCTCCATTTCCACAATCCCAGATTCAAGTCCCGAGCCCCAAACCTCAAACCCTGAACCCTGAACCTTAGACCCTCAACCTCGCCCTCAGAATCTCAGAAGCAGGTGTGGATGAGAGCTTCTCTGTGTTGTCTTCTCTCTCAACTTGTGGGATTCCAGGAATGAGACTTCTTGACCCTCAACCTCACAACTCCTCAAAAAAAGAAAGTCCCGAGGTTGAGTGTGGAGCCATTCAGGGGGTTAGCCCAAAGAATACACTACCTTGGGGACGACATGAGCCCTAAAATTGGGGGTCATCTACCCTGACTACTATAATTCCTCTTAAGGTACTATGAACCATAGACCCTTTTAGGGTTAATTTCGTCCTAAGCAAGGCTTCCGGGCAGAAATCCTCTTGAATGCAGTAGGCTTCAGGGGCGTTTGGGGGTTTGAGGTCTCGGGTTGGGATGTTTCCCCTGATACTAACAGTCCTTAATAGGGATTACAGTTGGGGGTAGCTATAATCCCTAGAAAGGGCTGTTAGTACAAGGGGAACATCCCAAGTGATGGGTTTCATGCTGTTCTAGAGCTGCGAGCAGAGCGAAGTAAGGGGAGATGATGCGCGCCGATGGCAAGACAGTGCCCACGCTTCTTGGCCTGGTTTTGGTTTAGCGTTTAGGGTTTAGGAATTAGGGTTTAGGGTTTAGGGTTTAGGGTTTAGGAATTAGGGTTTAGGGTTTAGGGTCCATTAAAAAAGACTCTGCAAAGCCCTTTAAATCCTAAACTGCCCTGACCCATGCGCCTAGTGGTGATGTGGGGCAAAATGAATGCACAGAGTTAGCCTGAAGCCTAACCCCTAAACCCTAAACCCTAAACCCTAAACCCTAAACCCTAAACCCTAAACCCTAAACCCTAAACCCTAAACAAAGACCCCAAAGCATGGGACCAAAAGCCAGTCGCCTTAGAACCTGCCGGGAGTAATACAACATCTGCAGTTTAGGATGTAGGGTTTCGGGTTTGGGATTTGAACCTCTAAGCCCCAAACCCAATGAAGCCTTAAACCTCCAAGCCTCCAACCATGACTGATCCGGAACAGCCGAGGTTCAACTACCTGTCGGCGGGCCCCGACAAGGGCTACGACTTCACACGGCATTTGCGAGCAGAGGTTTGGAAGGGGTCAGTGGCAGACCCAAGTCCTAAGCACGGACATGCTTCTGAACCCTAAAACCCTAGACCCTACAAACCCTACTTTCTAGAGTTTTGGGTTTCGGGATCTTCAGTCCCTGAACCCTAAACCCGAAACCCTAACCCCGGAAATAGGACCTCTCCGACGACTGCCACGATCGATGGACCTTTGTCCCGAAGGACCCTTTGCCGTTTCTTAGGGTTTAGGGTTTAGGGTTTAGGGTTTAGGGTTTAGGGTTTAGGGTTTAGGGTTTAGGGTTTAGGGTTTAGGGTTGAAGTTTGGAGGTTAGGAGCCGGGGAGGTTTAGGGTTTTGTGTTGAGGCGGAGACCTTGTTGTCAGGGGCTAAGGGATGTTTAGGGCTTGTAGGGCTTGAAAGCTGCAGGGCTTGGAGGTTTGCCTGGGGTGTTAAGGGTTTAGGGTCTTCAGGGTGGAGGGTTCAGGGTTGAGGGTTTAGGGCTTAGGGTTGAGGATTAGGGTTAGGGTTTAGGGTTTAGGGTTTAGGGCTATAGCTCCTCGCAGGAACGTGGCTACGAGTTGCGGACGGACTGCGAGCATCCGGAGTACCATGGGCCCGTTATGTCTCCTTCAGGTTCAGGGAAATTGCTCTGGGGTTGTCAGTTTAGGGTTGAGGGTTAGGGTTTAGAGTTTCGGGTTTAGGGTTTAGGGGTTTAGGATTTAGGGTTTAGGGTTTCTAGGGGGTCGAACTCATTTTAGGGTTGCGGGTTCAGGGACCCCATAAGAAATCTTAGGAGACCTACCAGAACCCTGTAGGAATTTTATAGGAATCCTGTAAGAACACTTTATGATACTGTAATATAGCTTTCTGAATCCTATGAGGAACGCATTAAGAACCCTATCAAAACCCCATAGGAACCCAATGGGAACACAAGAAGACCCCGGTAAGAATCCGACTATGAGAGCCTCTTAGAAACCTACAATCCTCCTCTACACCCTAAACCCTAAACCCTAAACCCTACATACCCTACACCCTGAACCCTAAACCCTACATACCCTAAACCCTACACCCTGAACCCTAAACCCTAAACCCTAAACCCTAAACCCTAAACCCTAAACCCTAAACCCTAAACCCTAAACCCTAAACCTCGCCAAACAAGACCAAGGAGCCCCTTATGAATCCAAAGCCCTCGGCCCCCTGGAGAGCAAGCTTCTGAAGCCCCCCACCATGCCCCCCCCCCCCCCCCGGGTTTAGGGTTTAGGGTTTAGGGTTTAGGGTTTAGGGTTTAGGGTTTAGGGTTAGGGTTTACGGTTTCGGGTTTAGCTTCCCCTTAAGCCCGAAGCCTAAACTCTGAGCCTTGGAGGTACCTCGTGGCCATGAAGAACGGGGACGGACCCGTCCAGTTCCACAAGAAGCCTTACCCTGGCCCTGAGGGGCCCCTTCACCACCAAGAGTTGGGAGTTTTGGGGGTTGCAGGGTTTCGGGAATGTCTCTGGTAGGGCTTGGAGTCAGAAGGGTTTAGGGTTTAGGACTGCAGGGTTTAGGGTTTAGGGTTTAGGGTTTAGGGTTTAGGGTTTAGGGTTTAGGTTTGTGTTTACCAGTATGTCGTATGCGCCTGCGTCGGTGTCTGGAGACCGGGGCACAGGCTCTGGAACGTGATCTTCGCCAAGCCTCCTCCACCTGAGCCGCCGCTGAACCAGGACACTTAACCGTTTCAGGGTTTCAGGGTTTAGGGTTTAGGGTTTAGGGTTTAGGGTTTAGGGTTTAGGGCCCCCGAAAGCCCTAAAGCCCAAGAGGCTTGGGGTTCAGGGTAGAACCCTGAGCCCTCAACAACCCGAAATCACAGACCCCTTTCCAGCGTTGACGTCTTGGAGACCGGGCATTTTCTAAATAGCACCCAGCGTGCCTAGCTCCTCACCACCGAAGAAGAGGGGGCGGATCCCTAGCAAGCCCTAACGGCCACCGACTTTTCCTAAGATGTGTGTTTAGCAAGCCTTGGCCCCACGACCTTAGACCCCTAAACATTAAACCCCGAACCCAACACTTAATCCCTCAACCCTTTAGAGACTTGTGCCGCAGCTTTCGGACTTCAACCCTAAGCCCTCAACCCTGAACAAGCCCCTTTAAACCCTAAGCCCTAAGCCCTAAGCCCTAAGCCCTGAGCCCTGAGCCCTGAGCCCTAAGCCCTAAGCCCTAAGCCCTAAACCCTAAACCCTCAACCCTAAACCCTAAACCCTAAACCCTATCCTCCCCTGAGCGGAGGAGAAGGAAGCCGAGGAGCCGCAGGTCGTCGACATGCCCGCCGACGTTCCGCCCGAGGCTGCGGTGTGCAGGGTTTAGGGTTTAGGGTTTAGGGTTTAGGGTTTAGGGTTTTGGGTTTTGGGTTTAGGGTTTAGGGTTAGCGTTTAGGGTCTCAGGTGTAGGGTTTAGGGTTTAGTGTCTCAGGTTTAGGGTTTGGCTTGTTATTTTTTTGTGGGGAGGGAGGGGGGGTGGGGTTAGGGTTGTAGGGCTTTGAGGTTTGGGGTTCAGGGATTTGAGGGCTGTAGCCTTCGGGAAGGGTATACCGGTAATTAGGCCCGTGGGATTTTGGGTTTAAGAAAATATTTCGGCCATCTTCGGGAAAGAAAGTTGCAACGCTATGCCGTCAACCCTAGACAGCCCTAGACAACTCTAAGCCCGAAGCGCGACTCCAATCTCACAGTGCCCATGCCCTCGACAGCTAGGCGGGCGAAACCTAGGCCCTATATAAGCCCCAAGCCCTAAGCCCTAAGCCCCAAGCCCCAAGCCCCAAGCCCTAAACCCTAAACCCTAAACCCTAAACCCTAAACCCTAAACCCTAAACCCTAAACCCTAAACCCTAAACCCTAAACCTAAACCCTAAGCCCTAAGCCCTATACCCTATACCCTTTTTTAGCCCCAAGCCCTCAGCCCTAAGGCCTGAACCCAGACCGTTCCGGGCAAGGTTGAAGAGATGGCGAAGGTAGATCCGGAGAAGGAGGGGAATGCGATGGAGATGGTCAAGGAGCCCTCCAAGACGTCGGAACGGGTTTAGGGTTTAGGGTTTAGGGTTTAGGTTTTAGGGTTTAGGGTTTAGGGTTCCGACCCTCCAGTCTACCCTAGACGTCCAAAGGCTTAGTTTAGGTTTTGTAGACCTAGGCTCGGGTTTAGGGCTCGTTCATCATTGCTGATCGTGAGGACGTGTGAGGACTCTGCTCCTCCCGGCTTCCGGCTTCTGCGCGCGCGTGCACACCCCTGCAACACACCCTGAACCCTCAACCCATACAGGCTCTGAAAGACTCCAGCCCTACTAAACACCCATGCCTAGGCCGTACCCACCCTGTTCCAGGGTGCCTGGACCCAGAACTACACCCGACAGCGACTAACACCATCGCTCGGAGCTACGAAACAAGCCTAAAGAGTTGTCGTGAGTGTGAGCTGCACTTCCTGTGCCGGTGCAGTACCCCGCTTGGGGCACCCCCTTCTGTGATTCAGAGCCCTAAACCCATGATATGTTCCACTTGTTCCACCAGACCCAAAACCACTTCTGCAGGCTGTCCCTGAACCCAGCCGCTTGACAGAGCGTGTCAAGGGATCAGGGGGCCGCACAGCAGGTCAGCTTGGGTGATTGCTCCAAGTGCAGCCGCCTGGCTGGCCGGAGCGTGTCCAGGGACTTGGGGTAGCGCCAGCTGCCCTGAAACCCTGAAAGGAGAACAGCTGGGTGGAGTGGGAAAAATAGACCAACCCACACTTTCTGGTTGTGGGGGGTCGAGGATGAAAATACGCAGACGCGAAATATGCCGCGCCCTCACACCCCCCACTTAATCCGTTGGGATGCCATCTCTGCATGAAATCTGCTGCCGCGGCACGGCGAGAAGCCTAAACCCTAAACCCTCAACCTTAAGACCCAAAAACCCTAAACCACCCACAACCCTAAACCCCATCGCAGAGACAGGAGGGCGACCAGGCGAAGGCCATAGCACAAGCTGAGGCGGCCAACGCCCAGTAAGAGGCTGAGGCTCCGAGAGAAGTTGGGTAGGGGTTAGGATGAAGTCCCAGTCAGGGTTTAAGGCGTGTGGGAAGCCCGTGCAATCTATGTATAAGCCTTACAACCCTGAACCCTGAACCCTGAACCCTGAACCCTGAACCCTGAACCCTGAACCGAGCCTGAACCCTAAACCCTAAACCCTAAACCCTAAACCCTAAACCCTAAACCTAAACTCAAAAGACCCGCCTCCACTCCCCGCCACCCGAGAAGTCGGCCACGGGTACAAAGAGAGCCGGGGCAGTGCGAGTGACGCCGGAGACAAGAAGGGGGCGCGCAGGCGTTGTCGGTAGGACCCTAAGGGGCTTAGGGTTTAGGGTTCAAGGGTTAGGGTTTAGGGTTTTACTTTCATGCCAGGCCCTTGGGATACTTGACTTCTTCCCTTCTCGGGTTCTGGCGGTGTCCCATGATTGTTTATACTTAATGCATGAAGTAGGGTTTATATTACTGTTCTTTGTGAGTGTATATAAGGTTCCTTTTTTAAATTTGGTGAGTGTACAGATTGGGTGTCCTTATGGGGATACAAGAAATGTAAACCCTACATCATATCACTTATTATTATGACTACTGTTATTATTCTTTATACTTAATATCACGTTTCAAAGAACACTGGGTCGCCGACTTTGGGAGGTTGAGCAGGTACTGTAAGGGCCCACGGCGCAGTGGAAGAAGCATGAACGGTCTAGGGTCTTGGTGTTCAGGGACCTTTTCGTTTAGGGTTTAGGGTTTAGGGTTTAGGGTTTAGGGTTTAGGGTTTAGGGTTTAGGGTTTAGGGTTTAGGGCCAACCCTAAACCCTGCATTGTGGTGGGCAGGGTTAGCTTTAATCCAGTGCTATCGGTGGGTCTATGGAGGCACTGAGGGCTAGGTGGGGGGCTTGAAGCCGTAGGGTGGTCGTGGGTAGGGGTTGGATGTTGCGGGCTTCTGGCAGTCAGCAAGTCCAGCTTCAAAAGTATTGTTGGTTTTTTTTCGGGTGCAGGGGTTGGATGTTGAGAGGATTGTTGCATTGCGAGAGGAGACCTGCAAGACATGCCAGCCCTCAACTCTAACAAGACCCTAAAACCAAGCTCAAGTCCTGTGGAAGCCCAAACCCTAAACCCTAAACCCTACACCCTGAACCCTAAATAAACCTTAAACCCTAAACCCTAAACCCTAAACCCTAAACCCTAAACCCTAAACCCTAAACACTAGCTTGGGGGTGCCCAAAAGAGACAGCGGCGACCAGCCAGGCAGATTTCTCGGCCAAGGCCGAGGAAGAGTTCCTGGAGGCTAAGCAGTCCAAGAAAGGCCAGGCATGTGGTATGTAGGGTTTAGGGTTTAGGGTTTAGGGTTTGGGGTTTGGGGTTTGGGGGTTTAGGGTTCAGGGTTTAGGGTTTAGGGTTTAGGGTTCAGGGTGTAGGGTTTAGGGTATGTAGGGTTTAGGGTTTAGGGTATGTAGGGTTTAGGGTTTAGGGTTTAGGGTGTAGGGTGTAGGGTTTAGGGTTTAGCCCAAGCCGTTTTCACCAGAAGCCTCAGGCGTCGAGAAGGAGCTCGATACCCTGGCGGGCACCAAGCTGGATCTCCATGAGAGCCCGGGCGCCTGACCTCCTTCTTCCCTAAACCCTAAACCCCAAACCCTAAACCTTAAACCCTAAACCCTAAACCCTCAACCCTAAACCCCAAACCCTAAACCCTAAACCCTAAACTCTAAACCCCGGGCGCCTGACAGCCCTTTCTGCAATGCAAGTTCTCTAGAGTTGAAGGTCTGGCGGAAGGGTTTAGGGTTGGAGGTTTACATGCGCTTAAGGTTTAGGGTCAGGGACCACTCATTCCCGCACCCTTTCCACACTGAAAAGAAGCCTAAACCGTAAACCCGCAAACCTAAACCTTTGGGTTATCATTCATGTAAGGTTTTATGGGGTGTCTCGTCGGGTTGAAAGGCTTTAAAGGGCTCGTAGGTTCATGGCATGCTTTGCTCTTTCTCACCAAAGGTGTGGTTGTTCATGTGGCTTGGGGTTTAGGGTTTAGGGTTTAGGGTTTAGGGTTTAGGGTTTAGGGTTTAGGGTTTAGGGTTTAGGGTTTCGGGTCGCCCGGTCTACTCCTTGCCCATCAACCGTGTCCCACCTCGGAGTACTTCCAGAGATTCCCTGGGGTGCTCCACGCAGAGCACCCCGCTGAATCCCTGGAGTGAGGCAAGCCAAGCTACCCCTAGAGAGGGTTTAGGGTTTAGGGTTTAGGGTTTAGGGTTTGGGGTTTAGGGTTCCATAGGGTCTAGGGTTTAGTAAGCCCTCTAAAACCCTCACCCCCCCCCCCCCCCCCCCCCCCCCCCCCCCCCCCCCCCCCCCCCCCACTCCCCCCCACTCCCCCCCTTCCCCTAACCACAGGCTGCGACTGGACCCTCGAGAACTTCGACGAGCGACTGGGACGCCCACTGGCACCCGCCTGTCATTTTGTTTGCTTCTGGGCTCCTCTGCATACACAACCGGAAAATGGGTTTAGGGTTTGGCGGTTCGGTTTAGAGCGCCCCTGCACAACACAAAAAACCAAGGGCTTGGGGCAAGGGTTTAATGCTTATATGGTTTAGGTTTTGGTTGGTTCTTCTCGGCTCCTTGAGAACACAAGAAGATGCTGGGGATTCCAGGATTTCGGGCCCAGTGTTCTGCAGTGTCTTGAGTTCAGGGTTTTGGAGCTTTGGGTTTCGGATTTCGGGGTGCGGAACCCCTCAGTAGCGCATGGTTCCGGGACCTTCCCAGGCGACAGAAGGCGCGGGCAGAGGAGGTCGATGCCCTCAACACTGCTCGGCCGCCCAGGGGGCGGTTTAGGGTTTAGGGTTTAGGGTTTAGGGTTTAGGGTTTAGGGTTTAGGGTTTAGGGTTTAGGGTTTTAGGTTTTTAGGGTTTAGGGTTTAGGGTTTAGGGTTTAGGGTTTAGGTTAGAAACCCTAGACCCTAAACCCCAAGCGAGCGCGAAACCTTACCCCAACCCCTAAACCTATTGCGACAGGCCTCAAGTCCCCCTATACCCTGAACCCTAAACCCGCTAAACGTTCTACCCCAAACCTTGAGCTCTATACCCTAAGCCCTGTACCCTAGACCCCCTAAACCCTAGCCCTAAACCCTAAACCCTCTAAACCCCCCAATCTCACTCACTCGCAACACCTCATAAACCCCCTAAAACCCTAAACCCTGAACACCCTACACACCCGAAAACCCGATAGCCGAAACCCCCAAAACCCCAAACCCTACACCCCAAACCCTAAACCCTAGCCCTAAACCCTAAACCCTAGCCCTAAACCTTAAACCCCTAAACCCCCAAGCTCCCAGGCCAAGTCCTACCTCTCCGGTGCCAAGCTCTAAGAGTCGGTGACCCATCTGGCGTTCAGGGCTGCCAGGGGTTTAGGGTTTAGGGTTTAGGGTTTAGGGTTTAGGGTTTAGGGTTTAGGGTTTAGGGTTTGGGGTCCGACATCGCTGATTAGGGTTTAGGGTTTGGGGGACCCCCGGCCTGCAAGTTTTGAAACCCATGCACTCAGGCGAGCAGCGCGGCTGCCCCAGACGATCTGCAGTCGATCGACGACGCAAAACTCAGATCGCGCATGGTTTAGGGGTTGGGGTTAGGGTCTTCTGCAGATTAGGGTTCAGGGTTTAGGGTTTAGGGCTTAGGGCTTAGGGCTTAGGGCTTAGGGCTTAGGGCTTAGGGCTTAGGGCTTAGGGTTCTAAGGGCAGTTACATGGACCCTTAATATGGTCCCTCTGATGTATGGGCCCTTAATTCATTTGTATAGGGAATGTAAGGGGTCCCCTTTTTGTCCCCATTTAAGAGCCCATACTAAGGGACCATGTTAATTTACGAGTCGAAGACTCTGGTTTCTGCAAATCCTAAACCGGTATACCCCATTAACTTGTGGTTAAAGAGGGTCCCAGGTAAACCCTAAGGATATCTCTAGTCTTCGAGAGCTAGTCATAGCCTGCCTTGGCCACTAAGCCTCAACACCTTAGGTTGCAGGGGTTTCGGTCTTAGGCCGGCGGCTGCCAACAGCCGCAAACTGTTCACCGTGCAACAAACAAAAAGAAAGCAGAAGACAAACAAACAACAACACCACTATCCCTCGAAACCCTGAAAAAGGGGTGTAGGGTTTTGGGGTTACAGTATCTCGCTCTGCCCTGAGCCCTATAAGCCCTGTGAGCTCCTACACCCCACTGCAACTTGCTGCGCGTGTCGGCCCGGCAGCCGCCCCGACAAGACTGGGCCAAAGAAGCGCCAAGCTGTGCCCGAAGAGGCAACGCTCCTCCCATGGCGCTCTGGCTGATGCAAGTGTTGGTTCTGGTGGCTTCAGGCCAGGGCTTTCGTACATTTGCCAGCCCTCTCGGACCCTATCCCCTGTTGCCCAGAGCTACCCCAAACCCTATAAGCCCAAACCTTCCTTTTGACCTGAACCCTCACCCCCAAACCCCCCGAATCTCTAAACCCAAAACTCCACAAATTCTAAACCCTAAACCCTAAACCCCCAAACCCTAACCTCAACAAAAAAGGAAAAGGAATCCCAAACAGCTCCTTTGGTCACCCTAAACCCCATAACCCCCAAAAACCTCAAAGCCAAAAAAGGAATCCAAAGCAGCTCCTTTGGTCACCCCTAAACCCCATAACCCCCAAAAACCTCAAAGCCAAAAAAGGAATCCAAAGCAGCTCCTTTGGTCACCCCTAAACCCCATAACCCCCAAAAACCTCAAAGCCAAAAAAGGAATCCAAAACAGCTCCTTTGGTCAGGCGCCCGCATGCGGGATGGTCGGCTGACGGGCCACCGGGCCCCAAGCGCCATCGTGCAGGAAGCCCCCTGTCCTCGAGCTTTGCTTGCTTGGGACCTAGGAGCCCTAAACCCGACACCCCTAAGGGTTTAGGGTTTAGGGTTTAGGGTTTAGGGTTTAGGGTTTAGGGTTTAGGGTTTAGGGTTTAGGGTTTGGGGTCCTCAACCCTAAAGCCTAAACCCCTAGGA